CTGTTCCTCACACATGCCAGGCAAGTGTTCTATCACTGAGCCACAATCCCAGCCCAATTCAGTGGTTTTAATAAAATCATCAGAGTTGTCAGTTACCACCACAAATCCAGTGTTACCACATTATCCTCATCCCCAAAAGATCCCTCATTCCCATGTACTGTCAACCTCTGTTCCACCCACAGCTCCAGGTAACCACTAATCAATTTCTGTCTCTATAAATTTGCCTTTTCTGCATATTTCACATATCAATGGCTGCATTATATTCTATTGTATACCACATTTGTTCATCTATTCCCCAATTAATGGATAGTTGAATTATTTCCATCTTTTTATTATTATAGACCATGCTGATATATGAACTTGCACATAAATCTTTGTATGGTTATAAGTTTTCATTTCTTTTGTATTTATACCTAACAGTAGTATTTATGGGTTATATGGTAAGTTTATTTTTTTCAAGAAAGTATCAAGCTTTTGCCAAAGTGTTAAAAATAAGTTGGCCAAAAATATAAGGATTTATTAATAGACTCTCAATACTGTTCCTTTTTGGCACATGACTATTCTTACATCAGTAGCATACTTTCATGGTTAAGTGTAGCTTCATAGTAAGTTTTGAAATCAAGAAGTGTAAGATCTCCAAATTTGTTCTTTTTCAGAATTGTTTTGGCATGTCTGGGTCCTCAGAATTTATGTGTAAATTTTAGGTCACCTTCCAAATTTCTGAACAACAACAAAGACAAACATACTAGGATTTTGACATGAATTATATTGAATCTATAGGGCAATTGAAATCAAATGGCTCTCTTAATAACATCAACTTTGATCCATGAACATGATATGTCACTCCCACTCAGTGATGTTTTGTAGATTACAGTGAATAGGTCTTTCACTTATTTTCATAAATTCATTCCTAAATGTATCTGTTTGAATGCTATTATAAATGAAATTTTTATTAATCTCATGTTTGGATTATTTATTTCTAGTACATAGAAAAACTAATTTTTATTTATCTTGTAGCATGATATCTTGCTGAACTTGTCATTAATTCAAGTAATTTTGAGGTGGATTCTCTAGAATTTTTCAAATATAGAGTATATAATTTATGAATAAATATACCTAGATTTACTTGTTCCTTTTCCTGGATTTTTTTCTTGCCTTATTATATTGGTTAGAACCTCAAGTACCAAGTTGAATAAAAGTAGCAAAAGTGATTTGCCATTTTTCTGATCTTCAGGGGGAAGTTTTTCACCATTATGATATTTGCTGGAGGCTTTTCATAGATGCCTTTTATCAAGCTGAAAGTGTTCCTTCCTTCTATTCTTAAATTGTTGGGAATTTTTGTCACAAAAGTGCTGGGTTTGGATAAATTTTCCTTCTTTGTGCATTGAAATTATCATATGGTTTTATGGCTTATTCTGTTAAGTTGGTGCATTACATTAGTTGATATTCTTTGTTCTATTAACATGATTTTAAACCAGCTTTGCATTCCTGGTATAAATCCTACTTTGCCAATGTGTAGAATCCTTCTTATCTTGTGGATTCATGAAATATACAGATCTGTAGTTTCCTTATCTTGTGATATCTCTGTCTCTTTTTTTATTGGGATAATGCTTCACCTGCCTTTTTCTAATCTATGGATCCTTTCAGTTTTTGTGGTTCCAAGAGGCTCCTCTGTCCAGTTCTCCAGCCAAAATATCTGGTTATATTTTGTTTTCTTTTACCCAGAGATCAGTGTCATGCTTCTACTTATTTTACTTGTATCTGTGGACTGATTCCACTTTCTTTGGACCACAGTGCTATTATTCAAACCAGATTTCCCTCCTTCAGAGTTCTGGCTCCTCTGGGCTCATGTTGCCAACATTACCACAGGATGGGTTTTGGGGACTAGGGTACAAAATTGGGTTAAAAGGAGAGAGGAATTTCTTTATCTTCTGCAAGTATTAGGAGTCCCCTTAAACCAGAACTAGAGGACTTCTAAAGCTGTCTGCACCTGGTGCCCAATTCTGACTACCTGGAGATCAGGCCACTAGAGGGAAAATATAATAAACACATTATTGGTTATGAAGTGCTTTGAATTCTTGCTTTTTTTCCCCAACTCATTTATTACTATTTGATTTTCAGATTTCTTGAATAGATTTTTTAAAATCCAGAACCTAAACTTTCTATAAGCCTACACTATTTCATTTCTCTAGCAATTAATTTGTAGTATAGTTTACAAGGACATTGGTCCTCAAATTGATTGGGAATTAGAAATAATTACTATTCTGGATGATAAAATGAAGGTTTTGTGGAATTTGGTGGGGGAGGGGCGGGTTAGCAGACATTGAGTCTTTCTATTAGTGATCAGTCATCAAACATAGAAAATAGAACGTTTGATAGCAACAAAACAGTGTTTATTTTGCTGTTTCTGAAATTTCCTGGGGGTAAAGTCTTCACAGAAAAGTTATAAGTGAGCTGGTCCATGAGGTTTATCTGGAACAAAAAAAGGATACTGTTTTTTTTTTTCTTCTTCTTCTTTCCTCTATGTCCTTCAAAATTAAACACTTTCTATTGATATGTCTTAAGTACATTGTCTCTTCTCTGTTACATCAATTCTGCTATTCATTAGATATTTATCCTGATATTATATTTTTTACTTCCAAAGTTTCCATTTTTTATACTTTATATTTCTTTATTGGAAAAAACTAAATGAACAACGTTTCAACAGTATTTACTTTTACCTCCTGGACTGTGTTTATAATTGCTGATTATAAACCCTTCCTAGACCAGCTCACTTATAACTGATTTATCAGTTATTCAAACATCTGGGTCATCTCAGTGTTGGGATCTTTGGGTTGCCTTTTACCTTGAGAATTGCTCAAATTTTCTTGCTTTTTTCTATGTTGCATTTTTAAATGTATGCTGGACTTTTTGATACAGTGTTTTAAGAGTCTAGATTTCAGTTTTCTGGAGAAGGCTGAGTTTGTTTGTTTGTTTCCATCCAACTTGGTTAGGGTTAGAGTTCCATAGTAGTGGTTCCCATGTCAGTTCCGTTTTAAAAAGCTGGTGCTGTTTCCTTTGAGTCTGCCCCATGCTTGCCTTATTTGGGGTTCATTCTGTCAGTCTGGGACTTGGACAATGGTGTAAACTTTAGCTCAGTTCTTGAATCCTGGGCCTTGTTGCTTTAAGTCTTTCCTACTCGTGTGCACTTCATGAGTGAGTCCTGGAATTTGATTCATTCATAGAGAGAAGAAAGACATCATCTCCTCCAGCTATTTCCTCTCTGAGACTTCCAGATTAATTTTTAATTTTTATCATAGTACTTATTTCATAACAACTCAAATGCATAGAAGAGCTCTTGCTAATGATAACAGTGTCCCTGCCATCTCAATCCTACTTCCCAGAAGCAACATCTATGACATTTGTTTTTAGTTCTTCTCTTCAAACTCTTTTTATGCCTCTATTTCATGATTAATCATATTTAAACAATATTTTATGCCTCTGTATGAAAAAAAAGTGATAATTTACCCTTGTCAGTCCCTCTCCCAACATTGTTAGTTGTATTTGCAATGTTTTACTTAATATATTTAAGCCTATCTTTTTAGATTCACATCAAGTTTCATAATCTTCAATTCCTGAATCCACATGGTAGAGATCTCGGTGCCAGTGATTTTTCTTTCTTCTTTCAATTCCACCTTCCAAGAGCTGCATTTAGGCCACTGTATTGCCAGTATTATGCTCTTCCCAAAGGCTCACTGTAAATTTTAAGGTTGTTTTAAAAACCATTAAACACTGTTTGCATTATTATGATATATGCATAACTGTTGTTCAAAACTGGTACAAATCACGGTTTAGTGGTACATGGCCCTCTTGAAGTCTTATTTGATATGTCAACCAATTAAAGAATGTTAACAGCATCAAGAAAATAAATTTCTTTACCTTTTATCCCTTGGTATTCAAAATGATGCCACAATTTTGCTTATGTTTGAGTCATTACTTTGTGTTTATTTTAGATAGATAGACAGACATGCTTTTATAGATGTATGTGTGTTTTTTTCTAGGATTTCTATGTCCTCTTTTTCCTGGGAGACTTCCTGATGTCTATGACCTGCAGAAAGCTATCCTTCTGAGATTTCCCTTTCCTGTTCCCTTGGGATGGATCCTACCGCTTCCTGGATTTTATGTGTTTCTCTTTCTTCATGCCTTCATTTTGCTGGAATACATTTTCAAATAACTTACTAACATAGGATGAATGGGAGGGAGTTTGTGCTTACGGGCATGACTAGCAATATCTTTACCTTGTCATTTAATTTGATTGACAGCTTTCTGGGGTTTAGAATACTAGGCTGAAAGTTCCTTTCTCCAGGGACATTGAAAGGACATCCTATTCCTTCTAGTATCCACACTTGCCCCACCAGGAGCTATGAGAACAAGAGCAATCCATTCATTAGCCAATCTCAGCCCTTGCATTTCTTTCCTCTTTGTATGTAGGTGATTTATAAGAGTTTTTCTTTGTCCTGAAGGGGTGGGATATGAGCTATTATATTTGTAATCACTGTGCTTTCATGCTTGTCTCCAAGTTGCTAACTGATGATTGACTTTTCTGTTAAAGAACCCATTCACCTCCCCCAATTCTACGAAGGCGATGGTACAAGTCCTGTTTCTAGGTAGTCTTTGGTGTCCCTAGCTTTAAGACTATCATAGATTTTCTAGAATTCTAGTTGTATGTATGATTATTTTCTGTATTTCCCTTTTCTTCAGTTGGTTAGTCAATTCTCCTTTTACCTGGAGCTAAGTATAGATATTGGGGAGGATAGATAGTACACTTCCCAAGAGGGTGATTTTTAATTAATATAGAACAGAAGGTATTCCAAAGTGAGTATATAGCTTATGTAGGTTTGGTAGTTCTTCATTAGTGCTGTGCTCAGGAAAGAATCCCAGGTGATGTGAGACTTAGGATTTTCACTCTCTATACTGACTTTTTCTCATTAATGACTACTGTTTGTCTTTTTCAACAACAGAAACCTCAAGGAAATCCTACAAAGAAAACCAAACCAAAAAAAGTAGATCCCCTGAAAGGCCAGAAGGTTATTGCAAGATGTGATGAAAATGGCTTTTATTTTCCGGGTAGGCTTGCTTTTTACTTATTTATTTATTTTTTTGTGAGACTCTTTTGTTAAATAATTTGGCACTAGAGACCACTAAGGTATTCTTAAGTGAAACAGTGATGGGTTTTCTCATCACATTGGAAGGCGGGGGGGGGGGGGGGGGGGGAATAGCCAGAAAAGTGTATTCATTTTAACTCTCATTTGCTTAGCAGACATATTTTTATTATATACCTACTTTGTTCTTTTGTGCAATATTCTGAAAGTGCTGGTCTGATACAGTAAGCAAACACATGAAAATTCTTATCTTTCTGGAGGTTATTTATATCTTACGGTGGGAGACAGACAAGCAACGGAACAAGTACAGGCGGGTTGCATGTCAAGATACAGTGCCCACAGAGAAAAATCAGGCCACAGCGGGCGTTGAGAGTGTCAAGGTGAAGGTCGCGGTTCTAAATGTGTGCTTAGCCCTGCACACTGAAGAGCTCTTGGGGAAGGTGACACAGGATAAGGACTCAAAGGAGGAGGGCACGCCATGAAATAACCTGAGGAAGACAGTTAAAGAGGAGGCACGGGCAGCTCCAAGGCTGGAGGCTGGAGCAAGCATGGAGAGTTGGGGAAAGAGCAAGCTAGAGAGGAGGAGGGAGCTGGGGGAGGAGCCAGCAGCTGGTGTGGCTGCACCTTAGGGGTCTGCCCAGCGTTCCTGGGCGGATGTGGTTCCTGAAAGAACTGAGCAACCGCAGCCCAGCATTGGGTGGGGGTATGAAAGACCTACTAAGAGGGTCAGAGAGACCCGCCAAGACCACAGTCACATGCAAAACCAAAGGTCACACTGGCAGTTTATCTTACTTTATTTAATCTTTTTGTGTGTGTGTGTGATACTAGAGATTGAACCCCAGGGTCTCTGTCACGGACCACACCCCTAGTCCTTTTTATTTTAAGATAGGGTCTTGCTAAGTTGCCCAGGCTGGCCTTGAACTTGCATTCCTCCTGACTCAGCCTCGCAAGTGTCTGGGATGACAGCGTGTGACACTGCACCCCACATGTTGGCAGTTTTTAAAAAATGTGTAATTAGAGATCATTTGCTCTTAATAGCTGCATGGGATCTGGCTAATTGGGAATTTTAATTTTGCAGCTGTGATCAAATTTAAGTTGGGGTAAAATATTTGAATTTAGTCATATAACTAGTAATTTTGATCAGTGACTAGTTAGAAAACACTGACTGCCAAATTAAATGACAGTGTGTGGGAGAGCTGGATAACTTACTTTTTGTGTCCTCTCCTCTCCAAAGTCAAGTAATCTTTAATGGGAAATTTCAACTGTACCTTGATAGAGTTAGTTTTTATAGAAAATAATTTCAAGCTTATATAAAATAGTTGCAAGAATAATACAGAGAACTCCTGTGTGTGCTTTACCTAGATTTACAAATTTTTAACATTTGATCACATTTAATCACATACTTTTATTTATTCTGTCTCATCTCTCTTTCCCCTCCACATGTACACATCACACCCACATATCATTTATGCTGAACTATTAGAGGTTGGGCAACACTTATCATGCTTTGCCCTTGATACAACAGTGTATGTTTCTCAAGTACAAGGATGTTCTCTTAATATAACCACAATAAAGTTATAAGATTCAGGAAATTTAACACTATTATAGTCCTTTAATCTACAGATTTTGACTTCATTAACTGTCCCAATAATGGCTTTTATATGATTTTTTTCTCAGTGCAGTTCCAATCCAGAATCCCATATTGAATTTAGTTAACATGTCTCTTTAGTCCTCTTTAATCTAGAGTCATTATTTAGCTTTTTCTGTCACTCATGATGATAGTGACATTACTGAAGAGTAAGGCCAATTATTTCATGACATGTTCCTCAATTTGGACTAGATTGGATTCAATGTATACATTCTTGGTCAGAATGTTACCTGAGTGACCTTATTCAGGTGACATTGCATCCGAAGGCACATGATGTCCATCTGCCCTCATTAGTCCACCTGGTCACTATGAGTTGCTACTTTCCCTCCTGCAAAAGAGAAGGATAGCAGAGTGATGTAGGGCACAAACATGGCACCCACTGGTGAACCCCTTTCTGGAAGCTATTACTCCAAAGCTCCTAAACACGTTCAGTGAAGAACAGCTGTTGAAAATGTGCCCTCAGCCCAAGGCAGCATTGCACCTGCTGGATCTGGGTGTCCCTTGGTAGAGGCCAGGTCACACTGGAACAGAGCTGGGCCGGCTGGCTATTGCTGCCACCCTCCAGGGCATGGCAGGGACTCCCAGGAGAGGTCCGAGTTCCAGGGGTGGTCGAGGTGGACTGCCTAGATGAGGAACGACTCCCTTGTACAGAGTGGAAGTGGTCAGGGCTTGTCTGGCTGACAGGCAAGACGCCTTTCAACACCGCATCCGATCGTGGCTGGTGGGACTGGGGCTCGCTCCTCGTCATTCACTGGCGAGAGGCATCTTACTTGGTGAAGCTCGGGGATTTCTGTTTGAGGCCACAGGACAAGTTATAATTGGAAGAAAACAGGGGCATGTGCGATGTCTACATCAGAAGACCCTGGGCTTTGATTTATTCCGATTGGGCCCCTTCCCTCTTCTCGCCCTATGACGGGGTCCCTCAGTTTCCCTCTGCCTCAGCTTCCCTGCCTTTACAACTGGAATTGAAACCTACCACAGCCTTTGTGAGATTGTCGCCTAGATTAAGGGTGGCAGCGCACAGCGCGCTGTTCATTGCGTGGGAAGAGTCCATCTAGTGTCCACTGAGAGCCCCTCTGAGGAGACCCAGCCACTGCAGTACTCTCTGGGGCACAGGCAGCTGTTTTCACATTCACAGCTTAACAGAAGTCACAGGCAAAGGGACTCGCCAGACTAAAGGAAGAAGAGGCTATGACAAGGGAGTGTGGGTGGCATTGCAGTGGAGAAGATGGCCAGGAGTCTCCAGCCTGAGACTCCTGTTTGGAAAAAAGATGGAGAACTACGCATGCACCTTCCACCCAAGAACCAACTTATACTGACTGCCAATCCTCTGACCACTGGGCATGGACAGCATGTTTGCTGAGAAGCTCAAAAAGAGGTGTGTTCCCCTTCCCCCATCCGACTACAGGACAGCTCCTGGCTGAGTTAAGGGGCTGACTCCTACCCAGGAAGATGCCTAGGCTGGACAGCCTCCCCCAGAAGGAAGACCAGAAGCCTGGAGGCTCTTCTGCTTGCTCCTTGAATCCGTCCTCAGATGGATTTCAGAACCAAGAGACATAGTCTCAGCTCTCTGGCATTGGGGGTAGAAAGAGAGAGAGTGCAGGTAAGGAAGGCCCAAACTTGGAGCTGAACTTAGTCCTAACACAAGAATTGGTAGCAATTCCTTAATAAGATGGAGACTGAGGCCAACCCTGAGTCCTCCAGCTCTCCCAGGATATAGCTAGCAGGGGAGCCTGGTGAGGCTGGTCTTGAAGATAATTGTGAGAAACTTACCCACATGTACTGATATTATAGAAAGAAAGAAACAGAATTGAAGGAACTAAAAAGGCGTCATGAGCTGGGCACAGTGGTACACGGCTATAATCCCAGTGCACAAGAGGCTGAGGCAGGAGGATCACAAGTTCAAAGCCGGTCTTAGCAATTTAGCAAGGCGCTAAGCAACTCAGTGAGACCTGTCCTGTCTCTACATAAAATACAAAATAGGGCTGGGGATGTGGCTCAGTGATTGAGGGCTCTTGAGTTCAATTCCTGGTACCAAAAAAGAAAAAGAAAACAAAGAAGAAGGAGAAGGAGAAGTCGTGAGAACACAAAGTCTACATGCAACGTGTACAGCAAAGATAAGCTGATGTTTTCTGTGGAAGAAAAAAGTAGTCTAAGCTTCGTGGGACATACAGCCTCCGTCCCAGCTTCTCCACCTTTTTACCTCCTCATTTTTCACCAGATGAGAAGCTGATTCGGATGGAGTTCATGTTTCCTTTATACTTTCACAATTTAATAACACCTTTTTTCTATCTTTGGAGAAGAAAACAGGGATAAAATAAATAAGTAAGGGAATGGGGCAATAGGGGGTATCCAGAGGGAGGATGGTCTCTGGGACTAGCGTCTCACCGCTGGATGGCAGCTGGTGGTGCCCGACGGACAGGCCTCCTGGAGTCGCCCAGCTCCAGCCCAGAGCATGCGCTTTGCCACTCCGCACGGCGCAGCCGGGTAGACCACGTTCACATTATTTTCTAGAGAAATCAAAGGGCTATGCTGATTAAAGCAGCCAGGTGCTGTGACTCGGTAGCACTCTTGTCTTTATATCTATGCCGCCTTTGATTCCTTCAGGGATTGTGAAGAAGTGCTTGAACCCCACCCACGCACTGGTGGGCTTCAAGTATGGAGACACCAAGGTCGTTCCCACCTCCTTCATCACTCCCATCGGAGGCGCCATGCCCTGCCCGCTGCTGCAGGTACCTGCTCCATTCTGTCCTGGGACCCTTCCCATCATCCATGCAGTGTAGGATAACAGAAGATAGCAAGGCACTGTTTAGCACTTTGCTGATTCCAGATGGGCTCCAGCAGGGAGCTTATGTTTGGGCAGGAAGAGCAGTGGCTTCTGTTTCTGGAACCTGTCACCTGACAATTTCTTTGCTAGTGACTCTGACCTGCCAGCTCCTGCTGATGTAGCTCAGGATTGTGCAGATTGACTTACATTGCACCTTGTGGCTCTTGTCGCTTGACAAGACTATAGATAGATGGGGGAAGGGAGTCGCTGTGGTTCTTGACACTCTAACTGCAAAAGATGACATTATATTGTATGTAATATCAAGGAAGGAGACAGTGCTTCCTTAACATTGTAGTCAGTTGACATCAGACTGTGATGTAATGCACAGTGGCCCCCAGTGTGCATTCCACAGATGAGCCAGACTAATGTGCTCTCATCTGCTCATCACTTCGTAAAGGCTATACTGTGTCTGGACCATCCTCCTGCCACTGTCCTGGCACCAAGGCCAAGGTAAGGGGAGGCCTTGCAAAGTGCAATTTCTTGCATCATATGAGCCAGGAGGAAATAGAGCATTTCACCTTGGATGTCTGTTCCTATGTCTCTGGCCAAACCCATTGTGCACTCAGGCACTTTGCCCCTGATGACTGGCCAGCACCCAGCAGTCTGTGTGCTCTTTTGCAAAGTTTCCTTTCTGCTGCAGGTAACCTGTGGAACTTTTATCCATGCCTTCCAAGTGTGCACTTGGGAGCCACATTGACCAAACCTGCTCCTTTGCTTTGAGTGGCAGCCCTTCTGATATGCGAGGAGACACCAAGTGTGTCTCTTAAGTCAAGCACCCCAAACAGGTTCCTTCAACAAATCTCATAACATGTGGTTTCCAGAACTCCCACCATCCTCCTGGCTGTCCCCTGGACCTTTGTCAGTTGGCAAAGTCCTACCAAAATGGGGCTTCCCCAAACTGACCATAAAATTCCAGGTGTGCCTCACCAATGAATCCAGAGAATTCTGGAATTCATTCTTAACAGGAAAAAGAAAAATAGGTATTTGAATTTTAGCCCCAGTACTTCCCAGTCATGTGGGGTATTTTGACACAAGTTTCTATCAACATTGTCTGTGAGATCTATAAACATTATCTGCTCTGATATCTGTTCTCCTCTACAGGTTGGAGATTACGTGTTTGCCAAAATTGTGATCCCCAAAGGATTTGACTTCTATGTCCCTGCCATTGTCACAGCACTTCCAAATCCAGATTCAAACTCAGAAAAATTCTACACAGTTTTAAAGTGTAACAACCGTAGAGTAAGTAGACTTTGGTTTAGAAAACCACTGTCCTGCTAGAAAGTGGCCTTACCCTGGACGTCCCCTCATCCTTTTCTGGCTTAGCCAGATGTTTCGGCCAAGGCTCTGCCTAGACACACCCTGGGTTTGGATTCTGCCAGGAAAACTCTATCCCCACTGGGGTCATCATGACCTGCGCTGAATGATCTTTTGACTCTGGCCAGACTCTGTTCTGCATTTGACAGCTGGATGGGCTCACTCTGGGTTCTTGGGGTGTCATTCTCTCCCCCCTCCCCGTCCTCCTCCTACTACCTTGTTCTCCTCTGCAAGCCCTGAAGATATGGGCATCTCCCAAGCTTCTCCCAGTCCTGTCCTCCTCTGCTACCTCATGGCCTGTCTCTTGGGATAAGCCTTGATCTTTGGACACCTTCTCTGGGCCAGGCATGGCGGCTCCTGCTCCTACCCTGAGCTACAACTCTGCATTTCTTACTGGGTTCTCCCGGACGGCTCCCTCTTGGTGAACCACAGGCCATCCCAAAGTGTGGGGGTCAGAGGCAGGGATGCCCCTCTTCCTTCAGCCCTCATCAAGGAATATCACCCCCTGGTTCCCCACCTTATCCCTGCCTAGGAAACCCCCGCCCTGGGACTGGCAGGAATATGAGGTCAAGTGCAGCTGGGTAGAGAGAACATAGGCTTTATGGTTTAAAAAGCTTGGATTCACTGAACCCTCTGCTGTGCTTTCTAGTGGATACCTGACCTGGGCAGTCTGCTTCACCTTTCTGAGCCTCTGTTTCATTACATAAGAGATATGTGAAGTGTTGTGTTTTCTGTCTGATCCGAGGAGTTCCTCTCTGTCTTCCAGATTTAATGCATACTGTCGGTATTCTTTTTTCTAGTCTATTGCTTGTCTTTTAATTTTAGGATCTCTGTTTATACAGATGCTCTAAATTTTAATATGGTCAAATGTATGCATCCCCTCCTGTATAAATTGCCTTCTCTATGTTTTGTTTAAGAAATCCTTCCTTAATGATATATTTCTCTAAAAACTTACCTGATTGAGACTTCCCACTGACCCTCTCCCATGCTGGCTTCTTCACCAAATTTCCAACCCTGACTTATTCCTCTTTATACCCTCTTCCTACGTAGCCCCTGATGGAAAGAAGGTTCTCATGGTGTTTTTTAAAAGTACTTGAATGAATGAAATTCCTAATGAAAACTGACATTGCCTGATGGACCACTTAACAAGCCTAAAAAATTGATTGGCAAGAGAAATAGATTGGTGAGAAGAAAGCAAAATAGCAGGGCTAACTTTATTGAGCCCTTGCTATGTGCCTGGGGTAATGTAAATGCTCTCTGGGTTGCGAGTGGCTGAATCCTCAGCACACTGTGAGGTAGGGACTGTCATCCCATTTTCAGATAAGGAAACTGAATCAGAGAACTGAAGTCACATATCTGGTAAGTGATTGAGCAGGCATTTCAACCCAAACATCTGGATCCATGGCTTGCACACTAAGGCACTGTGCCCAACTGCTTCGTCTACAGAATTAAAATATTGAGTAAATTCTTGACTGTAGCATGAGGTGTTTCCATCAGGAGATGGGGCAAGGGAAACCAATTTTAGGGTTGAGGGAAGGTATGAAGATGGTCAGAGCCAGTGGACACCAGAGCGCTGTGTCCGACTAACAAGAGAAGAAGGTGTCTTCCCACCAGTCCGTGCAAAACCATATTGTTAGAGAAAGTTGAGCAGTCGGGAAGGATGGAGAAGTGGCTAGCATTCCTTGTATATGACACTGTTCTCTGGGGATAGCAAACCAAAGGACATCTGAGGAGATGTCCCCAGGCATGCCCCAGGGTTTGGGGAGAGATGAGGCAGTTAGCTCAGGATCCCTGAGAAGGAGCTTCAGAGCCCAGGGGGGGACCTTGGAGTTGACCCACAGGGTACGGCGTCCCTGAAGTCCAGAGAGGCATGCTCAGGGGAAAGGACACTGGAGACAGTGCTGTCAGCGATCCTTGGAGACCCCACAACATCGAAAGTTGGGCATTCAGCCAAAGGGTGGTGGCTGCAGTTGTCATAGAGATGGCCAAGGCTGAAAAAAAAGATAGAATGGAAGGTGGTTATACAAAGAGTGTGTGTGTGTGTGTGTGTGCGCGCGCGTGTGTCATATCTTATGTGGGTAGATTTGACAACTGACCCGGAATGTGGAGAAATGACAGAGCCGATTCAACAATGTTTAATTCCGCAAGGAAATCAAGGGAATCTCTGAATCTAACCGGCTGTCTCTTAAGTGTCACCCTGAATAGGATAATGACTGGTAGTTATTATAACGGGTTGGGTAGAATAAAATCATTTCTGAATTGTGGACTTTCCTGATTTAAACTGAATGAACACTTTCGGTGTCGTTGCAGGAATTCTGCCCTCGGAGTGCACTCATAAAGATCAGCCAAAACAAATATGCTCTCTCTTGCTCTCATATAATCTCACCCCCACTTCAGGAAAATCCAAAAGGGTAAGTGTGCCCAGCCTTCACCCCTTGGCTCCCATCTGTGCCTCTTGTCCTGTTTCTAGGTGGAATCCATGGCTTCCGCACAATGGGGGAGAAAACCAGAGTGGAAGCCTGCCCACTTAATGTAGCTCTGTGACAGCTGTCCCTTCCATGTCACATTCTCTGTGACTCAGCCCTCCATTGGGTTCTAATCTCAAACTCAACATGATTCCACTGCCCTTCAGAAGGGCATTCGGTCCTGTCATTTTTTTTTTTGGCAGGAATTCAGGCCCCTCCTAATGAGGAGGCCGACAGTTACCTGCTGCCTGTTCCACCTTGGGAGGCAGAAGTGAGGGGCTGGCCCTGGCTTACAGTGAGAGGGTGGGGAGGTGGGTGGTGGTTTCCAGGAGCTGCAAATTTGGGGTGAACAAATGTTACTTTTTAATTTTATTTATTTTGAGACAGGGTTGCTTAGTGCCTCCTAAATTGTGGAGGCTGTCTTTGAACTTGCAATCCTCCTGCCTCAGCCTCCAGAGCCGCTGAGGACAGTGGGATTTCTAAGAGCTGTGGAGGTGGATTAACACAAATAGCGAAAAGAGCAGGGGAATTAACACAAATAGCCTAAAGAGCATGGGGGAAAACAACCCCAAGTCTGTGGGGCCAAGAAGGGTGTCAAGGTTGAAGTCATAGAGCCATGACCTTGGAGTCAAAAGTGTATGAATAGAGATAAATGTAGATTCTGCGCAAGGGCTATAGAAAGAGACCCAGGAAACACCTTCCAATTTTACCTAGAGTTCATGGGCTATCTTTGGGAGCCGGCCTTTATTGTCTTGATGGCCTGACCTTCAGCTTCATTACAGAAACCATCAAAAATTCTCTCCCTCCCCTTCTCGTGTCTGCCCTTTGTGGGAATTCCTGCCTCTTCCCATGATGTTGAAGTATCGGCATCCCTCCTATCATCTGAAGTTGATCTATCAGGTTCCAGTGGCCTATCCCACTGCCTCGGATCCTTGCTCTATGGGTCATCATCCCTGGATACTTTGATCTCTTTCTTTAGTTCCTCTCCATTGAAGGCTTCACCCTTCAAAAAAACAGGTTTGCTTTCCCCTACCGTATACACCCCCCCCCCACACACACACACACACACACTTAAACACAAAGGCCTCCTGTGGCTGTGGTCCAGCACCCTCCTTCCCTTCTCGGCCTGTGTCTGTGCAGTCCAGCAGACTTGGTGTCGCACTCTCTTGCCTTCTGTTTCCCCCTACGCCTTGGGCATCAGCTTTACCCCAACCCTCTGCAGAAACAGTTCTCACAGAGCTACTCAGGACCTTTCCCAGGGCCAAGCCAATGAGTTTTTCCCAGGCTTGACTGAGCTTGCTCTTGGGATCGTATGTGACAGCCGGCCACTCCCTCCTTCCCTAGTTCACTGGTCTTGAAGCTTGCCATCACTCTCTCTGAGTTTCTCCCTGCCTGGCTTCACCCACATGGCTCCCGTGACTCTGCTTACTCTAAGGACCCCATGTCTCCTCCAATCCAGGCTGTTCCCCTGGGCTCTTGAATCAGGACCCCAGACCCTGAGAGGGGGACCTTCAGTGGGTCTCTAGAGAGTGCCCCCGTGATTGTAATGCACACTCATGGTGGCTAACTATAGGGAAAGGACATTGGAAACTAAGACTGGGCCCATTGCTCGTCCACCATCATTTGGCTCATGCTCTGGGAAGATTGCTTTTCCCCTCTGAGCTTTGTCCTGCCTTTGTCAGGCTAGGGGTGGTAGAAGGGTTAGGAATGTCCCTTGCTGGGTCTAGCATAAAGTAGGTGTTTGGCGCATGGTGGGAAAAGCACCACCACCCAATGGGTATTTCTACTTAAGGGTGCAAAATGGAAAATTGAGCCATCTAAACCGAAATTGTAGTTCCCCACAAACCTGCTGCCCTCTCGTCCTTCTTCGTCTCAGTTCGCCTTTCCACCTACCCTTCGGAGTGATCCTAGCAGAAACATGCCGGTCATCTTTGCTGCTGCTTGTCCTTCACCCACCACACCCCAGGCCTCCACCACCTGTCTTCATGTTTTAGTGATTTCAAATTTCAGCTATTTCTCAGCTCTCTGCTGCATTAGGTCAGGGGCTTGCATTTCTTCCAGACTTGTTCTGCCACAAGCCCAGGCATTGTCCACAAGGGCTGAGCTGGGTAATCTTCCTCACATGCAAATCTGCTTTTAAGATTCCCTGACTTAAAAATCCACCCGCTCCCTGAATGCCCCTTCTTATCCTATCTTAGCCTTTCATTGCCGTGACCCAGCCTGCCTTCCTAGCCTCACTTGTCCCTAGCCAGCCTCAACCAACCCTCCTCCAGGGCACACTAACCACATTAAACTTTCTGTAGTGTGCCCCCCCCCCCACACACACACACATACACACCATGCCTTTTCAGGTCTCTGTGCCTTTGTGTGAGCCAAATATCCCTGCCCTGGAACGGTATCCCATGCCCTTGGCCACCTGGGGAATTCCAAGATTGAGCTCCAGTGTTCCATTAGTATTCAGTAACCTGGCAGCCAGCCCTCCCAGTAAGGTGATCCTACTGCACCCTGTAGAGGTTTTCATTAAAGAAAATTTTTATAGCTAGACATAGTGGCTCATAGCTGCAATCCCAACTACCCAGAAGGCTGAGGCAGAAGAACAACAAGTTTGAGACTAGCTTGGGTAACTTATGAGATCCTGCCTCAAAATTAAAAAATTTTCTAAAGGGCTGGGGGTATAGCTCAGTGTCCCTAGGTTCAATCACCACTAACAAAAGAAAAAAGAAAAGTTCCCTTGTGTTGGATCATGTCTTAGTCCATTTTCTGTTGTTATAACAAACTGCCTAAAAGCTAAGTAATTTATAAAGAAAAAGAGGTATATTAAGCTCCCAGTTTTGAAGACTGAAAGGCTCAGACCAGGTGGCCCCATCCATTTGGCCTCTGGTGAGGGCGCTAAGGTTGTATCACAACTTGGTGGTTAACATCCAGTGGGAGTGCATATAACAAAGATTATGGGGTAAAACAGGAAGCCAGAGACTGGAGAGGGGCTAGTCCTATTCTTTTATAACAGCTCACTCTCAAAAGAACCAGCTCACTCCATGAGGACAACATTTAGTCTCTTTTTAAGGCCAATCCTCCAATGACCTAACCACCTCCCACTAAGTCCCACCTCTTCAAGGTCCCACCATCCTCAACATCACCATATGTGAACCTTTGGGGAACAAACAACATCCAAACCAATAGACTCTGTGAAATCCTTGAAGGCCAAGGCCACGTTCTATCTGCCTCTGAAGCCCAATTTTCAGATCTGACTCACAGGCTATGCCCACTGACTATTTGAAGAACAACTCAAAAAACGAAATAGATGTTAGTGTCAGCACCCAGTGGTGGTCCTGCAGGGCTACATAATTCCACAGAGAATGTTTCCTAAGTATGATTATTGAGAATATATGCTACACTCCTTCATCCTTTGTCTACATAGCATATTTCCTTTAAAAATAATAGTGGATTTTGTGTTAGTCTCAAAACTTCACTCAAAAGGTATGGTATGTGGGGTTGAGGTTGTGGCTCAGCATTAGAGTGCTTGCCTAGCACATGCGAGGCCCTGGGTTTGATCCTCGGCACCACATAAAAAATGAATAAAATGAAAGTATTGTGTGCAACTACAACTAAAAAATAAATATTTTTAAGAATATGGTATGTAAATTATAGTACATTGTGAAGAAATATGAATAGATATGTCCAGGTGCTGGCTGTTGTCCCTAAACTCAACATTTTCAATTGCTATTTGTTCATTAAAATTCATTTCTTTCTCTGCTGAGAAAAGCCTTTGTTTCCTTTCCACGTTTCCAAGGCTTTATTGAAAGCCCTTAGCTGCTAATTTTCTACTCTCACTTCTGGGGCTTCACACAATGAATGTATTCATTGACTGACTCCCTCCTCTCCCATTGTAATTTCCACTGTTTTTCACACTACCTGCCTTTCTGGGTGTTAAGAGAGACTGAATTTAATTCTCCTAAGCAGAGGTCACATTCAGCCTGCTAAGTTCAGAGCTTAATCTGTCCATTTCCATAATCAGGGCTGGCAGAGCTGAGCTCAAAAATAAAGATGTAGGGTTTATTTGTATCTACCCTGGAATTTCCTTGTGATAGGTCTTTCACTGGGGGCTCTTTCTCACTTTATAAATGTGCCATCTTTTAATGAGGCCAATTAAAAAAAATCTTGGTGCTTTCTTCATGGGCCATTAAAGAAATGTATTATAGGTAACATCTCCAACAAGTCATCATTTAACTAAATTTAATTTTAAAATATTGAATCAAGTATACCATCCATTTAGGGCAGCTAAGACAGGGATCCTTGGCCCCAGACAGCTGTGTGCACCAGGATGCCTGATGTCTAGCTCTCCATCTTCTGGCCCTCCTCTCCTTCCTCCTGGGGGCCTTCAGGTGCAGGTGACTGACAATATTCCCTGCAGGTCCCTCTTCCAATTTCTGACTCAGGAATGAAAGTATTTGGAGAGTGAAGGGTTCAAAATCAATCAAATATGGCCGAAGCTGATGCAAATTGTCATTCTTGATTCAAGATCTGACACCGAAATGATCTTGAAGACTCTTAGCAAGGTTGGCTTGCAGAATAAGCTACACCTCTTGCCACATTCCAGTGACTGGTTCCCAGAGGAGATCCCTGACAAACCCATATCTACAATGTGAAATGACTGAGGCTGGCGCTCATTTCCTCTTTTGCCAAGGCCACACCTGAGAGTGGGTCTCAGTGGAGGGAAGTGACTGCCCTTCCCTTCCTCTGTCCCTCAGGAGTGTCCCTAAACTTTCTTCTACATGCTGTGACATCACAGTCATCTTTTATGAGCAAAAAAAAAAAATATTCTCTAACATATCCATAACTTCCCCCGTTTAGAGAACACCCATGTAATTTCTCCCAGGAAATCTCAAGCAGAACAGGAGAAAATTCCCCCCATTTAGCATCCTCTGTCCTCCTGTCCTCACTTGGCAGAGGACTCCTTTCCCTGGATGCCTCCCCTGGGGTCCTGTTCACATAAGGGGATTGTGGCCTCTGGATGCTGCAGGGGAAAGCACCAAGTAAGTTCCATGCTCTAGCTTCTAGTTTTCCCCATGGAAGGGAACGGCCTCCACAGATGTTAACGGTCCACAGCTGGGGCTCTGGCAGTTCTGAACCCAATCCACACAGCTGATGTTACGTAACTGGCTGGAAATCCCTGCAGCAGAGCTGGAATCCATCCTCTCTTCGTTCTTGACCTTGCCAGACTTGAGCAAGACTCCTCCTTAAGAAGACCCTCTTTAGAGGGAGCATGATCTCTTTTTAAAAACTACTAGCATTCCAAATGTGATCTCAGGAGAGTCAAATAAGATCAGTCATTTTCTTGGTGCACCAGAAAAACCATCAGGTACCTGGAGGAAGTTGTTGGGTCCTGAGATCCTGATGGTGAGGAACGTTCTTGTCTTGTTGCTTGACTGTCTTAGTGACCTAGTTGTGAATTTGGCTGCAGGAGGAGACCCTCCCAGGGCTCAGATGTGTTTGGCTGGGTCTATGGTCAGCTTCCCAATTCCTGCTTTCTCTCTTTTGAGCAGTTTAGTAATTTTCCATGTAGCCATTTGGACTTGGGAATATGTGCCAATAGAAGTGATAATTCCCACGTTGTTTCCCTCCCCACTTTACTCACATTGTCCTGACAGAGTGAAATCAAGTCACTGATTAAAACCTGAGGTTCAGCAATGCCTCTGACTTGACAGGAGACGAATCGCTTCCTTCCGCCTCCCCTGCTCACTCCTGACAACTTTTTCCCTGGAGGGAGTCGTGCATTTGAAATCAGTGTTTTAGGCAGTTTTTTCACTGCTGTGACCAAAAGACCTGAAAGAATGATTTTGGAGGAGAAGTTTATTTGGGGCTCCAGGTTTCAGAGGTCTCAGTCCATAGACAGTCAACTCCATTGCTCGGTGTCTGGGGTGAGGCAGAACATTGCAGCGGAAGGGTGTGGGGGACATTGCAGCTCAAGACATGACAATCAGGAAGCAGAGAGAGAGTGTACCTCACAGGGACGAAATATAAACCTCCAAAGGCCCGTCCCCTGAGACCGACCTCCTCCAGTCACACCCCACCTGCCCTCAGTTACCTCCTACTTGATGTCCCTATAAGGGAGTAATGCACCAATTGGGTTAAAGCTCTTGTAACCCAATCATTTCCTCTCTGAACATTCTTGCATTGTCTCACACATGAGCTTTTAGGGGACACCTCATATCTAAACCATAACAGTCCTTAAGCCTCTGTATGTCATTAGTTCCTTTTCTCCTTTCTGGTCAGATTAGGAGCCCCATTTCCTGTCCTAAAGCAAAGACTTGAGAAATAAGAAGTTCAGCAATAAATCCTGTCTGCAAGCGTCATACATTATCCAGGGACAAACGCCACTGGCTACTCTCAGGAAGTGTGCCGTGGTGTCCTGACACTTGAGACAAGAGAACATAAGGCATCACAGAGATTTGCTGACCCTCAGGGCCAATGGTCTCAGTCTCTTCATTATCTGCTCCTTCATTGTTGAAGCTCAGAGGCCTCCTGGTCCTTCTCAGACATCTGCTTGGTGTCTACTTCATGGGTCTTCCTGTTCTTTATGTCCTGAGATAGCCTTGCTGACAGACACTTAGGGCAGAGTTGAAATGAGGGCCTCAGGGAGCAAGCTAGAATACTGGCAAGCTGGTGATGCTTCCTCAAGCAAGTGAGGTGGGTTTTGTCCTCAGGAGAGCACAGAGTGGGTGCTCAGTGCTTTCTTCCTGGAAGTGGGACCAGCCCCTGCTGAAGAGCCAAGGAAAACACTGTCCTCTCCCCAGCTGGAGCATGCACACGTTTGGCCCATTTATCTTATTACAGGTCAAGCATCCCTATCCAAAATATGACATGCTCTAAAATATGAACTTTTTGAGCACTGAAATGACACTATGAACAGAAAATTCCTCACCCAACCTCAAGTGAGAGGTCACAGTCAAAATGCAGGCACATCAGAAATATGGTATAAAATCACCTTGGGCTTATGTTAGGTATATATGAAACAGAAATGAATTTTGCATTGAGACTTGGATCCTATCCCCAAGGTATTTCATTATGTATATAAATTTTCCAAAATTTTTTTAAAAAATTCTAAATCTGAAACACTTCTGGTCCCAAGCATTTCAGATAAGGGACACTTAACCTGCCCAACCAGCTCTGTAGCTCGATAGCACCTAATTTACTGCCACTTTGATATGAGATTGAGCTAAAGAAAGCCACTGAGTCCTGGGTCCTTCCCAGGTTTGCTGATGGAGAAGGTCCACCAGCAGGAAGTCGGGATCATGGCAGCCCTTCTCCTCTCCACAGAGTGGGTGTGAGTTGAGCATCAGAGTGAGGGGCATGGGTTGAGGGTGGTAAGAGCTTTCACATCAGATTCACACCTACCCTGCTCCCTGCCCCCACCTGTACCCCATAGAGGGGACGTCTCCTCAGAAAATGTCTTGAACTTGGTCAGCATCAGTCATTCTGGAGAGTGAAATACAGAACCCAAACAATATCTGCCTGATTAACCTAAAGACTTTTCCTTGATCCAAACTCTTTTCTGTTCTTAATCATGCCAACCTGTTTTATTCTTATTCTGAAAAAAAAACACACATACACAGTTAATATAATTTATAAATTAAAGGTGAATGGAAAGAGTACAGAAACCATCCATAGTCCCACATTTCAAAACTAACGACCATTTATATTTTGGTGTGTTTTCTCTGCTGTGTTGATTCTTATTTTTCCTCAAAACAGAAAGCTTTAATTTTTTTTCATCATATATGACAGTTGCAAAAAAATTCTTTAAAGGTGGAGAAAGTGTCAGTTAACAGTTTGACACAAGGTTTCCAGGCACCCTTGCATATTTACAACCTTGATAACAAAAGTGAAAATATAGTATGTATCCCATTTTCTAACATCTTTCCCACTTGGCAATACATACTTGGCTTATTTTTCCATAACACATCTTGTTTCATTATTGCCTATCTAAAATTCCACTATTCAGGTGGCCCATAACGTATCCACATGACCAGTCCCAACAGAAGCTATATACTTGGTCTCTCTTCCTCCTCTCCTCCTTCATACCTCCTTCCTCCCCCTCCTACTCCCTCCCTACCTGTCACGGAAAGCAGGTTCCTCTACAGCCTTATTCACTGGGTGCTTTCAGTATGTCTAGAAAACTCTCTGCTCCCATGCCTGTTGGTCTTCTTTCTGAGAGATTACAGGTGGTAGACTAGACTAGGGGATCATTCCTCATTACATGGTAAGTAGAGAAAGGCTGTAAAAAGCAGACATATCAAGAGTCCACTCTGGAGGGGGGCAGTTCAGGGTGAAATGGTGGGTAAGGTCTTGGAACTCACAAAGCAGGGTGATGACCAGAATGTGGGAGTGCTGCGATTCCAGGATGTCTCCCAACCCTGGCATCACAGAGCCCCGTGTCCACACAGGCACCGGGGTCTGTCACTGGCCTCCTGGGGAGCCCGCTACTGCCACGGCTCAGGCCAGTGTTTTAGTCTCTCTCCGGAATTCTCTCCCGAGTCTTTGAGCCAACCTTTGAAAATTATCACCTGCACTGACTCTTGAAGGGAGGGATTTGAATGGTGGAATTTCTCTTTGGAAGTAACTAAAAATCTTTTCCCAGTTTATTCTCTGTTTCCTGACTTCTTCCAGAAGGATTGGAAGCAGTAATGATCCAAAGTTATTCAGAGTAAAAGCAAAACAAAACACTACGCAGAGGGAAGGGGGGGGGGGACCAGGTGGTCGAGGTGCTTGATCCTGACATGGGAACAAAATAAGATTGAGTGCCAGGCAGCAGGTACCCTGACATCCCTGAAGACCCTGAAAAAGGCTGAGTTCTGAAAACAGGGAGCCATGGTACCATGTGGAATGAGGTCAAGGTCTTCCCAAGTGAAGGACAAACACTTCTGGACAAAGAGGCTTTGTCTGGGACATTTCCTAAATAATATGTCTAGCTCCGTGACTTCATGGTGGTGCCTAAGTTTTTTCAATTAAATGCAATTAACAGTCAGATCATTGTTGGCTTTCGGGAAGTGTTCCCGATGGCACACCTTGGATCAAGACCTGAGAGAAACCCAGGGCAACAGAAGGCCATCTCTGTGGTTCTCCAGTTCAGGTGTGAGGGGGCCAAGCTGGTCCCCTTGGGTGGACAGGGTCAATGCTGAGGCGGCACGCCTGAGGCTTCTGCGATGGAGCGAGCTCTTCCTTCACCGACTTGGTCAGGACTCTGTCCAAATGTCTCCATGAGCCCAGACAATCCTGCAGCTCCATGAGGCTCAGACCACAAAGGCCTCTGGGGGAGAACTGAGCAGCGCTAAGTATCAGCCCCCAGGGCTCAAGGACTCCAGAGGACAAAGAGCTGGGAAGCCCCTGTGGGGCTGGATTAAACCCCTTTCTCTCTCTCTCTCTCTCTCTCTCTCTCTCTCTGTCTCCAGGAAAGACGCAGAGGTCAGGGAATCTACCTTCGTACTCTGCCCACTGAAAGAAGCTGACATGGGGGATTTAAAAGAGCCCAAACAGGAGAACCCAAGAAGGAAGAAGAAGAAACCTGCTAAGAGGCCGCCTCTGCAGGAGGTGGTGTCTTCAGATTCGGATGACTCTTCCCGTGGCACCAGGTCCCAAGAATCCCATCCCAAGCCATACCCCGAGCCCAAGGTGTGGGGAGGGGGACCAACACCACACATCTCGGCGACACTTTGAAATCTCGATTTCAAGAATAGTGCCTGTGAGGTCAATTCCAGACTCCAGACAGAGTAGATCCCACCACAGCAAAAACACTAACCCTTAAATTAACACTAACATCCACTTCCCCAGAGAAGGCCCGAGGCCCGAGGCCTAGGACTCAGCCGGCCATCGCTGCCACATGTCCACCTCCAGCAGCCCTGCCCTGTCCTCTCCAAGGCACACAGCAGCAAAGGGCTGAGGACCACCACTGAGAAGTCTTAAAAAAATAGTCTAGTGGCAACTAGGTTTAAGAGAGCCAGGATTCCTCCAGGCAGCCCAAGCCTCCGCCACTGGACACTATGAAGCAGCCCCTCACTGAGGTAAGGCCGCCATCTTCCACCCGAGCCTTCCCTGTGTGTAGCAGAGGCCTATCGCGCGCCCCTCTCCTTCCCTGACTCCCCCACCTGTTTGAGCGTATGGGTTCCCACCTTTCCTCACCATTGTTCATCCCGGTGTCTTCCCCATCTTCACAAAACTCTTCTGGATTTTCTGGTACATGGTCACACTCAGAAGTTCTGACCTGACAGATTATTGTCATAGGATTTTCCAACTGTTTAGCAGTCAGTACTTATCAATCCAACCCTGCCACCTCGTTTTAAAGTATCATTCCCATCTGAATTAGGGACTTTGTCACTCAAGGTTGAGGACTGAAATTAAGACCTGGTAGCTTGTCTGAGATCATCGAGACTGACCATTCTCCGAGTTATTGTTTTTCCGAACATTTCTATTGAGCCCTTCCTAATTATTTTTGTCTACAGTCTGTTGTAGGTACCTCTAATTGAGTGCAGAACGAGAATAAAAACTCTTACGTTGGAGACATTTGAAAACTGTCGGGCTGTTCACTGATCACTGTATTCTTTGAACACATTTGAGCAATGCCGTATAAAAGTACTGGATTCTCTCCTAATTTCAAAGCTGAGCTGGCTCTCTCCAATTCCCTTTTTTCTAGTTAGTAACAACCCTAGGGCTGGATAAAAATAGAGTACAGATTGTTAAGAAGAAACAGATGAAGGTTTTGTTGTTGTTGTTGTTGTTGTTTAAAAGTGGTGTTCACATTCCTGAAAGTTCAGGGTCACCAGGGTTATGATAAAAAAATAAATATCGGAGAAATCTACTTCCAAAAACGGAATAAGGGACATTAGCTCAACATCAGCCTAGGAATAGGATGCAGTAAGGAAGGAACGGAGGATGGAGGAAATGACGGACACAAGGCAGAGGGAGTGTATGGGGAGGCGTGCTGCCTGCCCCCAACTCAGATCTGCCTCTCCAGCAGGAAGGTTCTAGAGCAATCCTCTGCTAGTGAGAGCTGTGTCTGAAGGACGCAGGGTGGTGTTGTACATAGTAGAGAACTGGAGGAGGGGTAGGAAGGAACCCACCCATCACGTTAAGCCTGCGGGCACCATTCCATTATTCAGCAGGCAGTCGAGTACTGACAACGTGTCAGGCTCCAGAGATACCATCAGACAACTGGAAGATGTTACCCCCTCTACATCCCTTCTCTATCCCTCCATCTGCACGTTCGTACTGCACCCAAGGCTGTTGTCTGGTCGGGGGAGGTGTGCAGGAAGAAAGGACTGCAGGGCAGAAGGACATCCTAACGGTCGTGTGTGACATGTTTTAGGAGACGTGTTTAATGATGCCTAGTTCAAAGAGATGGGGGAATTTGCAATTACAACCGAGTGCTTCCACTTCCAGCCAAAACGTGGTATAACAGAAACTCAATTTCCACTGCTGGCCCAAATTGAAATGCCTGATAAAATGCATGGAACCCAAGAGTTTCCCAAAACGTTGGCCACCATGCAATCAAGGACAGTCATCTTTGAGAGACAAAGGAGGTGAACTGTTGGGGCAGCCCCCCTTGTTCCCTAGAGAGACAGGTCCAGCTGCAGCAGAGGGAGCGGGGAGCCTCCGCAGGGCCCTCGGCCTCCTGAGCCGAGGAAATATGGGACTAGGTTCTGAGGAGACCAAGGCAACCGGAGTTCACAGGGTCGAGTGCTGGAGAGAAAGCTTCAGAGAAAGCTCTGGAGTTTGCAGAGGGCTCCCCTTGAGACACCCCTTGAACCCAGTACTGATCAGTACAACTGCAAAGGCAGTTAGTTACTCAAGGCTGAAGGGAGGACCTCTCGAAAAGACTAGAAGGAACAGTCGCTGCAACACATACATGGCTGGGACTAGTTCCTGTTCCCTCTATTCAGAGAGGAAAACCTCCTTCATTCAGGCCTTCCAGTAATGGGTCAGAAAGGATTTGCCTCCGTTGCAGAGCAAAACTGGCCTTAGACTTAAATGCTCCTCTGTTCCCCTGAACAGGGTTTAAAAGAAAGAACTGGAAGGATCACTGTTTCTAATTAACTGTATCCCTGAAGAAAGATCAGGAATACTTAACAGAGATAGAAAAATATACACCATCCAACCAGGGTAAAATTCACAATGTCTTGCATCCAAAGATTAGCTTAAAGATAGGCATGCAGAGAAGCAGAAAATGCAGCCCCGACAAGGACGAACACAGCTGGAATACCTCAGAAATGGCTTAGATGATGGAGCGTTCCAGAAATGTAATTGGTGGTATTTATAAAAGGCATTATTGAAGTCCCTTTTAAAGGTAATTGACTGTATAGAGTAATGGTACTGGTGCATTAACACATTTCCATCCATCCTGAACACCCACCTCGATGTGTTCCTCAGGGGATCTGTGCATTTGATTTTTCACCAATAAATCTGCACTTTTGGCACACACAAGAAGGAAATAAAATCCACTCTTAAAACAAAAACAATAATGCTAGCTGTACATTCTGATTTCATGGTCTCCCTATATAATTGTCACGAATCACAAGCCAGGGGCGGAAGCATGGGGGTACAGAGTGGTTGAAACCATACAGACACTGTCTCTGGAATGGGCACAGAGTGAGTCCTTGAAAAAGAGAGAGATGCTCTCCAGAGGAAAGGATCAGACGTCCAAGTACAGAACAGATTTGAGGCTAAGGAACGTATAAGACAGGTGACAGCTGGGAGAAGGGCACACCTTTAAGACCTACTACCTCTCCTACTTGGGAGGCCCAGGCAGGAGGATCACAAGTTCAAGGACTGCGTGAGCAACTTAATGAGACCTGGTCTCAAAAGGGATTGGGGATGTAGCTCAGTGGTGGAGCACTTGCCCAACTTGTGCAAGACTGAGGGTTCAATCCAGAAAAAAAGATCAGTAACCAAGTCACCTACATTCTTACCTCTATATTTTGTTCTACTCCAGAATTCTATGACCCACTGACCTGGTCCATTATCAACTCAAACCAGTTCACACAGATGAAAAACTGTCCTTGTTAAAGGAAGGGTCGACGGATGTAGCCCTACAATTAAACAAGAGAAGTTACTTAGGGAATAAGAACTGGAAAATAAGTAAAGATACAGTTGCACAGGATAAAAGAGTATGCCTTAAAAACCTGAGAGAATCATAACACAAATCCAGAATCCACACAAATCATAACACAAATCCACAAAAGAATTCAGTTAGATAGCCAGATGCAGTGGCATATGACTGTAATCTCAGCGGCTTGGGAGGCTGAGGCAGGAGGATCGTGAATTCAAAGCCAGCTTCATCAACAGGGAGGTGGTAAGCAACCAAATGAGACCCTGTCTCTAAATAAAATACAAAACAGGGCTGAGGATGTGGCTCAGTGTTTGAATTCTACCTGAGTTCAACCCTGGTACTCAAAAAAAAAAAAAAAAAAAAAAGAATCCAGTGAGATAAAAGGATGTAAATTTAATACACAGAAATCAATATACACAAATCATGGGAATTAATAGGCACAAAGAATGACCAATTAAAAGACATTATTGATAGAGAAATCTTATTGCAATAACAACAAAGTTGCTTCTCATTATTCACAGTAGTTATGTTCTATAAAATTGTTTTAGACACTAAATACTGAATTATTGCCCACAGGGTGAACTACAAGATTCTGGCAAATCTCTGGTCATAATGTTTTCTTCTCCCCTACCCCTGGTACTGGGGATTGAACTCAGGGGTGCTTTGTCACCAACCTACCTCCCCAGCCTTTTCAATTTTTTATTTTGAGACAGGGCCTCTCTAAGTTGCCCAGGTTGGGCTCAAACTTTTAATCCTCCTGCCTCAGCCTCCTGAGTAGCTGGGATTACAGAGGTATGCCACCATATGGGTCTCTGATCACAATATTTTCATTAACCAGTTAGTGTATAACTTTGCTTTATAAGTATTTCTGATTTTAAAACCCCTTATTTATTTTGTTAATTACATACACCCAATACACTAAAAGCATGAATGAATCTTATCTAACAAATATTCTCCAAATGTATGTCAGAGACTTCTCTGAAGAATACTAAACAGCATCTCAGCCATTTTCAACTGTGAAATCAATAAGAATCACAAAGAATACAAAAAAAAAAGGAACACTAAATACACCATTAAAAAGATACATTGTTAATGGTGGGGAGAGTTAAATGAAGGTGTTGAGTCAACTCAAATTTTTCAGAAGTGAAAAATTTGCAAAAGTGCCTTGAGCATTGATAAAATATATTTTATCCAGTAGGTAAATCCACAAACATGGAATCTCTGAATGGTGAGCAGAGTCTGTATCTGGAAAAAACAAGAAATGCACAAAAGAATTATGCGTAAGACTTTAAAACGCTCCTGAAATACACAAAAATAGGCTTGAACATCATTTGTTTTTAGAGGGGATGGCTAGACTTCATGGAGATGATGGTAGTTCTGATTTCATTTATAAATGTAACATCTTCCAAATGAAATGGTGAATCTTTTATGAAACTTGAAAAGTTGACAGCTGAGATGAAAAAACAACCACATGAAAATAGCTGAGAAAAATACTGTAAAACAAAAGACGTAAGGAAGGACTTATGCTAACATAAAACCACTATAACAGATCTCCTGTTAAAACAGCATGGCACTCACACAAGTAAAGATACATGTACTCATGAAATAATGAACAGCCCAGAAAAAGACCTCAACTCCATAATTATATGGAAATTTATAAAGATGGCATCTCAAATCACTGGAACGTTTTAGTAACTGGTACCCTAGAACAACTGATAGCCATTAGAAAATAGTAAAATCAGATCCATGCCTCACATCATGTGCAAGAATAAACTCCAAATGGATTCAGGTCCTCAGTGTAAAACAAGAAAGCAAAAAAAGAAAAATGTGGAAACACTAGAAGAAAATATAAGAGAATTCCACTATAACATGAATGTAGAAAAAGGCTTTCTGTGACTCAAAATCCTGATGCAATAAAAAAAAAAAATCACTAACCTTGTCAACATAAAAATGTGGTTTTTTTTTTAGAATGCATTACTAAAAAACATCATAAGCAAAGACAAATGACAAACTGGGAGAAAGTATTTGTACTATATATCACACACAGGATTAATGTCCCTAAAATACAAAAAAAAAAAAAAGCTCTTAAAAATTTAAGGAAAAATAAGGCAAATGATATGAACTATCTACAAAGATATAAGAACAGATGACAGAAATTGAAGTTTCACTTAAGAGAACTCCCAATAATGCACCAATGGGAAGTGGTCACACAAATCCTTTCACACACAACAATTTAAGACCTGGATAAAATACTTCTTATAACTATTTAAAGGCACAGTAAATGTTCAAGAGTAGAGAGAAGCTGTGCTACCATTAGAATGTCCAGTTGAAGTCCAGGTCCTTGGTGTGTCACGAACAGAGAGTTGAGCAAGACCCACAGAAGTAACAGGCAAAGTACAGGTTTTTTGAAGGTGAAGGTAGCACTCCATTAGGTAGAGCAGAGTGGGCTGAGAGAAAAAGAGATGC